GTGGAACAACCTGCCTCCAGAAGCAGTAAATGCTCCAACACTGGAAGTTTTTAAGAAGAGACTGGACAGCCATTTGTCTGAAATGGTATAGGGTTTCCTGCCTGAGGACTAGACGACCTCCAAGGTCCCTTCCAACATTATTATTATTATTGTTATTGTTATTGTTGTTGTTATTATTATTATTATTATTATTATTATTATTATTATTATTATTGTTGTTGTTGATCATCGCACAGTCAGCCAGATGTTCAGACTGGATTTGGCATTTTGTCTACCTATCGAGTCCTTACCCAGGACCTGGGATAGGCAGATGTGGATGTTTGATGGTATTACAGGTATCGTCGCAGGATGGAAGCAGTTCCTAATAAGGCCGCCTTTTGCAATTGACTAGCGAATTTGTCAATGCCAATGGTGTTCAAGTGGTGCTCCAGTTGTTTTGGGATTGCACCCAAGGAGCCTATGACTATTGGTACTACCCTGTGCTTGCTTTTGCCACAGTCTTTCTATTTCTATTTGTAGGTCTTTGTATTTTGTTATCTTCTCCAGTTCTTTCTCTTCTATTCTGCTGTCTCCAGGCATTGCCACGTCCACTATCCAGACTTTTTTGTCTTTCTTATCGACAATTGTTAAGTCTGGGGTGTTATGTTGCAGGTGCTTGTCTGTTTGAATTCTGAAGTCCCAGAGCAGTTTAATTTTATCATTTTCTATGACTTTCTCTATTTTATGATCCCACCAGTTTTTGCTTACAGGCAAATGATATTTTTTGCAGATCTTCCAATGCACCATTGTTGCTACTTTGTCATGCCGCTGCTTGTAGTCAGTCTGTGCAATCTTCTTGCAACAGCTTACCAGGTGGTCCACTGTTTCTTCAGCTTCTTTGCATAGGCGGCACTTACTGTCTGTTGCTGTCTTCTCAATTTTGACTTTATATGCATTTGTCCTTAAGGCTTGGTCTTGTGCAGCCAGAATTAGTCCCTCGGTCTCTTTCTTCAATTTTCCTGCTCTTAGCCATTGCCAGGTTTTATTATTATCTGCTTTCCCAGCTATTTTTTTCATGTATTGGCCATGTAGTGCTTTGTCTTCCCATGCCTCTATTCTGTTCTTCATTTGGTCTTTCTTGTAGGCCAGTTTGGTCTCTCCAGTAATCAGTAAGCCTTCCTGATGTACTAATTTCAGTGCATCTTCATCATTGTTCTTCAGATATTCTTCCAAAGCCACTTTTTCTTCTTCAACCATCTGATGTACTTGTAGCATTCCACGCCCACCTATTTGCCTTGATAGATAAAGTCTGTCAATGTCACTGCGTGGATGGAGGGCATGATTCATTGTCATTATTTTTCTGGTCTTCCTATCCATTGCTTTTAGTTCTGCTTGAGTCCAGTCCACTATTCCAGCTGTGTACCTAATGACTGGGATTGCCCAGGTGTTGATTGCCTTTATGGTATTTCCTCCATTGAGTTTGGACTTTTAAGATCTTCTTCACTCTCTTGATGTATTCACCTCTAATCTTTTTCTTGACTTCAGTGTGCTTGATGTTGTCAGCTTGAAGGATACCCAAGTATTTGTCAAGCTGACAACATCAAGCACATTATTATTACTATTATTATTGTTGTTGTTGTTGTTGTCTAGGCACGCCTAGGGTTCTAGGTCTATCTACACTTGGTCTTTCTTTGCTAATACCTTTTTAGTCTTTCTGGGCCACGTATGTGCCCACTCTGTTTACAAGTTGCTTCACGTGCCCAGTAAAGAAAGAAATATAATTAGGACCTGAAAAAAAAGCTCTGCTCCCTCTCCTATCTCCCTGCTCCGAGTTGAGAAATAGCTTTAATATTCCTGTGACAGCTTCTCCTGCTTTATGTCTCGTAAATAACTTCAACGCATAAAGGCTTGCATTATTGAGTCGGAAGTTGGGATTCATCCTTCAATCTTTTGGGCTTGCAAACGCTGCCTCTCCTTTTTCAGAAGTGTCAAATATTTATGGGAACGTTCATGAAATGCTTTTACGACTCTAACATGTTCTATTGCTCCTGCGTGTAAATATCAGCAGGTTTTCTACTTGGTTTCTGTGCTTACCCCAGTAGGCCGCTGCGAGAGAGGGAATACCACCGTCAGTTGGATGTGGTTTTGCATACAAAGCCCAAACAACTAACCTTCTACTTGGAATGATGCCTCAAAAAAAAAAAAAAAAAAACCAAATTCCTATAAGATTGCAGATAGTATGTGTTCCTTTCCACAGTGGCCAAAGAGATATATTAGGGCAGTGATGGCGAACCTTTTAGAGACCGAGTGCCCAGACTGCAACCCAAAACCCACTTATGTATCGTCGGGTGCCAGGTGGGCATGGCCCATGGGGTGGGCATGGCCCAGTGGGTGGGGGTGTCCCATTGGGTGGGCGTGGCTGCGGTGGTAATGGCAGACTGGGTGGCACTAAAAAGTTCAATCAATCAGTTCCAACTTTGTGAGATCTTTTTTTTTTCCCTGCAAGAAGTTGAAATTGATTGATTGATTGAATCTTTTTTTTTCCACACGGCGGCAGAGGCCTAAAGTGAAAAGGTTTTATGAAACCCAGCTGAAGGCCTAGGACTGGGGTGACGGCACGTGTGCCCACAGAGAGGGCTCTGAGTGCCGCCTCTGGCACCCGTGCCATAGGTTCACCACCACGGTATTAGGGAATCACACTGCACTTGTGAAGCCACACTTGGAATAGAGCATCCAGTTCTGGTCACTGTGATTTTTTTAAAAAAAGGATGCAGAGGTGCTAGAAAGAGCACAGAGAAGAGCAACCAGGTTTAGCAGGAGTCTACAAAATAAATCTTTTTTTTTTTTTTTTTGCCTTTTGGTACTGCCAACAAAAGTGCATATAGTTAAGGCTATGGTTTTCCCAGTTGCAATGTATGGCTGTGAAAGTTGGACCATAAGAAAGGCTGAGTGCCAAAGAATGGAGGCCTTTGAACTCTGGTGCTGGAGAAGACTCCTGCAAGTCCCCTGGACCGCAAGGCGATCCAATTGGTCAGTCCTAGAGGAGATCAACCCCGACTGCTCTTTAGAAGGCCAGATCCTGAAGTTGAAACTCAAGTGCTTTGGCCACCTAATGAGAAGGAAGGACTCCCTGGAGAAGAGCCTGATGCTGGGAAAGATGGAGGGCAAGAGAAGAAGCAGACGACAGAGAAGGAGGTGGCTGGATGGAGTCACTGAAGCAGTAGGCGTGAGCTTCAATGGACTCCAGAAGATGGTAGAGGACAGGAAGGCCTGGAGGAACATTGTCCATAGGGTCGCGATGGGTCGGACATGACTTCGCAGCTAACAACAACAACGAAATAACTCATATGAGGAACAGTTCAGAGAACTAGTTATGTCTAGCCTAACAAAGAGAAGGTTTGGGTGTGTGACATGATAGCTGTCTTCTGGATTTGGGGTTTCACAGAGAAGAGGAGGGTCATGCTCTTCTCCAAAGCACCTGAAGGCAGGACAAGAAGCGACATGTGGAAGATCATCAGAGGGCGATCCAATATGGATGATGTGGTTCCGGCTAATGAAACATTCCAAAGAACTTCCAGGCATTTATTTTTCTAAAAGTCTTTTAATGTTACAAAATGTCGGCACAGGCACAACGGAGGGATGCTAGGATTTAAGTTCTCTTCCTCTGAGCAGTTAAATTATCAGCATGTTCCCTCCCTAAATTAGCCGTCATAACTCACACTATCCAATTAGTGTGAAGGTCAAATGTTTTCTTCCTCTTTCTTTCCCGGGATTTACCGCAACGCCCCGTCTGCTCTTTATTAACCCCATATTTACTAGACATATTGTCAAAAGCAAGAATATACAATATTTGTAGTGTTGACAATGGAAATAAGGAGGAAATTTTTTTGTTGACGGTGAGAACGATTAACGGATGGAACAGCTTGCGTCCTGGAGTATGGGTGCTCTATCACTGGAGGTTTGAAAGAAAAGATGGGACAACCGTTTGCTCCGGGATGATATTATAAGGTTTCCTGCCCTGAGCAAGGGGGTTGGACTAGAAGACCTCCGGGGTCCCTTGCAGGGCCTAGGATTCCATGATGCTTTGTGTTAGCCTCATGTTTGCCTAACAGCAGCCCATAGTGAACATCTAGTAGGCCAAGCGCTCAGTCAGAAGCTCCTGTGAATTCTATAAATGAAAGGTGAGCCAAATCTCTTTCCCACAAGTTCTCCAGGAAAGGTTGACCTCTCCTTGTCTGTCCTCTTGCTTTGTCCCAGGCTTTTTTAAAAACAAAAACAAACAAACAAACAAACAAAGACCTTTGATTTGCATCTCTGTTCTGGTTCCCTGCTCTTCCTATGTGCCTACTCTTCTCCTACTTCTCCTACTTTTTCTCCTTCTTCCTCTCTTCCCTTCTTTCCCCTCTCTTTCTCCTTTCCTTCCCTTCTTCATCCTCTCTCCTTTCCCTTCTCCTCCCCTCCCCTCCTCTCCCCTCCCCTTTCCTCTCCTCTCCTCTCCCTTCTCTTCTCTTCTCTTCTCCTCCCTTCCCCTCTTCTCCCCTCCCCTTTCCTTTCCTCTCCTCTCCTCTCCCTTCTCTTCTCTTCTCTTCTCTTCTCTTCTCTTCTTTTCTCTTCTCTTCTCTTCTCTTCTCCTCTCCTCTCCCTTCTCTTCTCTTCTCTTCTCTTCTCTTCTCTTCTCCTCCCTTCCCCTCTTCTCCCCTCCCCTTTCCTTTCCTCTCCTCTCCTCTCCCTTCCCTTCCCTTCTCCTCCCCTCCCCTCTTCTCCTTTCTTTTCTTTTCCTTTCCTTTCCTCTCCTCTCCTCTCCTCTCCTTTCCCTTCCCTTCTCCTTCCCTCCCCTCCCCTCTTCTCTCCTCTCTTTCCCTTCCCTTCCCTTCCTTTCCCTTCCTTTTGTCATCCTTTCCTTTCCCTCCCCTCTCCTCCCCTCCCCTCTCCTCTCCTCTCCTCTCCTCTCCTCTTCTCTCCTTTCCTTTCCTTTCCTTTCCTTTTTTTTTTAAACTTCCAGTATCTTTTTTTCTTCATAGAGCCTCAAGAAATCTGTGATGAAGACAACCTGGCCTCTGTGAACTGGAAAGAGACTCCAGCAGGAGACGCGGCAGCGGTCCGATGTCCCCGGAACGCCACAGGTAACCCCTGGGGATCAGCCCATTTCCAGCTTCTGATCAGCTCTAAATGACACCTCACCTCTTCCTGGTTCAAGGTCAACTGGAATGAAGCGATCGGATTTCAGATTTCTCCTTTTTTAAAAAAAAATCAGTTATTCCCCACGGACATTCCGTGATGGACCTGCCTTTGCACTCTTTGGAAGGACTTGATAGCCCCCAGGGTGATATGGGGGCCATCAAGTGGTGGGTAGGACTGTTGTCCCCAGGGAGATGAAAGTCTATTGTATTGGAGTTATATTTCTATAATGCGCCAGGAATCACTAGGAGTGAGTTGGATGGCCGTGTATATTTTCTAAATAGTGATAGATAGATAGATGGATAGATGGATGGAGAGAGAGAGAGAGAGAGAGAGAGAGAGAGAGAGAGAGGAGATAGGATAATAGAGATAGATAGATAGATAGATAGATAGATAGATAGATAGATAGATAGATAGATAGTGGGGAGGAGGGGGAGGAGGAGGAGAAGGAGGAGGAGGAACAGGAAGAAGAGGACTGTGGAGTCCTTGGTTCTCTCTGAGCTTGGTGGTTTTCTTGCAGATATTTCATGACCCAACTAGGTAACATCATCAGTGCTAGAAGGAAGTGGGGTTTGTGAAGAGGAGGAGGGGGGGAAGAGAAGGAGGAGGAGGAGGAGGAGGAGGAGGAAGAGGAAGAGGAAGAGGAAGAGGAGGAGGAGAATTGTGGAGTCCTTGATGCTCTCTGAGCTTGGTGGTTTTCTTGCAGACATTTCATGACCCAACTAGATAACATCATCAGTGCTAGAAGGAAGTGGGGTTTGTGAGGAGGAGGGGGGGGAAGAGAAGGAGGAGGAGGAAGAGGAGGAAGAGGGGGAGGAGGAGGAGGAGGAGGAGGAGAATTGTGGAGTCCTTGATGCTCTCTGAGCTGGGTGGTTTTCTTGCAGACATTTCATGACCCAAGTAGGTAACATCATCAGTGCTAGAAGGGAGAGGGGTTTGTGGAAAGGAGGAGCAGCAGCAGGAGGAGGAGGAGGAGGAGGAGGAGGAGGAGAATTATGGAGTCCTTGATGCTCTCTGAGCTGGGTTGTTTTCTTGCAGGCATTTCAGGACCCAACTAGGTAACATCATCAGTGCTAGATGGGAGTTGGGTTTTCAAGAGGGAGGAGAAGGAGGAAGAAGGGAGGAGCTGTCCTTCTTTTCACCTTAGGGTTTTCACTGTATCCTCTCTCATCAGGGTTGATCCTACGGCGGTGCCTGCTGGATGAAGACGGTATCGCCTATTGGACGCTTCCCACATACGTCAAGTGTGTCTCCATAGACTACAGGAATATCCAAATGATGGTGAGTGGGACTTGCTCTCCCAAGCTTCTTCATTTCCGAACTGAAGAGAACGGCAAAACTGAAGAAGCTTCTTGGATGAGAAGTGAAATGTCTTCAAGGAAAAGTCCAGTTGCCTTTTTTTAAAAAAAAAGCACCTTTAGGAGAACCATAACCTGGACGATTGAGAATCTTCAGGGATATTTAGTTGACCCAATTCTTGTCAATTAATATAGGTTTGAATAAGATAATAGTAATAGTAGTAAAGTTGGAAGGGATCTTGGAGGCCATCTAGTCCAACCCCCTGCTCAGGCAGGAAACCCTACACCATTTCGGACAAATGGCTGTCCAGTCTCTTCTTAAAAACTTCCAGTCTTGGAGCATTCACCGCTTCTGGAGGCAAGTAGTTCCACTGGTTAATTGTCCTCACTGTCAGGAAGTTTCTCCTTAGTTCTAGGTTGCTTCTCTTCTTGATCAGTTTCCATCCGTTGCTTCTCGTCCTGCCTTCAGGTGCCTTGGAGAATAGCTTGACTCCCTCTTCTTTGGGGCAGCCCCTGAGATACTGGAACACTGCTATCATGTCCCCCCTTGTCCTTCTCTTCGTTAAACTAGACATACCCAATTCTAGCAACCGTCCCTTATATGTTTTAGCCTCCAGTCCCCTAATCATCTTGTTGCTCTTTTTACTGTAGGCACAACGGCACACATCAAAAATGAAATTTAGTTGCCCGCTCTCAAAGTGAAACACATACATGACACACACCTAAACATACTATGAACAACATATGTATAGACCCACATCCCTAGATATACGTAGCAAATAAATATTAAATACTATCCATCTTGAATATATAACGGAAGGAGGAAGCTTGAGAGTTCACAAGGTTAATGCTGTATGGAAGGAAACTGTGGCTGAATCTGGATGTTCTGCTACGGATACCACAAAGCCTCCCAGAAGGGAACAAGGAAAACAGGTCATGAAGAGGATGTGTAGTGTCCCAAATAATCTTGTGGACTCTGCTCAAGCAGCACTTCTGTGCCATGTCCTGGATGGGAGGGAACTGGCAATGATCTTTTCGGCCATCCTCACCACTCTCTGCACCGCCTTCCTGTCTGAAGCAGGGATGCTTCCAAAATAGATTGTGATGCTGTATGACAGGATGTTCTCAATCGTCCCCCTGTAGAAAGTGGTGAGGATAGGAGAAGATAGGACTGACTGATGTCAGTGGAAGACTAGCTCTACCCATTTTCTACATCAACAATTCTGAGATCCTTCTGTGCTTCTCTTGCTTGGAGACGTTTCTTTACCCAACTATTTATTTATTTTTATTTATTTATTTATGAGACTTATATACCGCTTTAAGTGCAAGCACTCTCTAAGCGGTGTACACCAGTAAGCAATGTATATATATATTTACATTGCCCCCAACAATCTGGGTCCTCATTTTACCTACCCCGGAAGGATGGAAGGCTGAGTCAACCTTGAGCCGGTGAGATTTGAACCGCTGACCTGCTGAACACAGTCAGCTAAAGTGGCCTGCAGTACTGCACCCTAACTGCTGCGCCACCTTGGCTCTTCTCAGGGAACTGAGGATGTTACTTAATTTACTAATTGACTAATGAAACAAGCCAACATCTAAGCTAGAGATCATCAAGGTCCCTACAGTTCAAACCTGAGTTACCAATATTCTCTTCCATTGTTTTTAGTTAATGGCTACAGCAGTTGTGATCTTGGTCAATGTCAGGATCATCCGATTCATGTCTTCTTCAATCTTCCCATAGGAAATTGGGAATGAAAAACAAACACACATAATACAAACCGTTTAGTCTTCTAGTCCAACCTTTTCTTCATTAAACTAGATATTCCCAGTTCCAGCAACCGTTCCTTATATATTTTATCCTCCAGCGGCCTAATCATCTTTGTTACTCTTCTCTGCACTCTTTCTAGAGTCTCGACATCTTTTTTTCATCATTCTGAAATCATGAGATTAACTCACTCAAACTCTAAGTCTTATTCGTTTTGGCTCCGAGGACTTGTCTGGCCACCTCGAGTGATCCAGAAATCTCGATTTAAAAATAAACAGTTATTTGGGCTTTCAGCATGAGTTGATTTTGTTCTTTTCTTTTCTAGAAGAATTCCAGAAGCTGGTTCCTATGGGTGAGCTGTAGATCTTATCTCCCTTCAGAGAAGCTTTCAATGACCTAGATCAGGGGTAGGCAATCTTGGCTCTTTTATGACCCATGGACTTCGACTCCCAGAATTCCTGAGCCAGCCATGCTGAGGGGAAAGGGAAAGGGTTCCAAGCTGAGCCCTGCTGGCTCAGGAATTCTGGGAGTTGAAGTCCACAAGTCATAAAAGGGCCACGTTTGGTGGGGAACCTTGGCTCTTTCATGACTCGTGGACTTCAACTCCCAGAATTCCTGAGTCAGCCAAGCTGAGGGGAAAGGGAGAAGTTTCCAAGCTGAGCCATGCTGGCTCAGGAATTCTGGGAGTTAAGTCCATGAGTCATGAAGGGGGCCATAGTTTCCCCATGCTGGCTCAGGAATTCTGGGAATTAAAGTCCATGAGTCATAAAAGAGCCAAGGTTGCCTACCCCTGACCTAGATTATATAGGTTCTTTGAAACAATTATATTATATTTTGGTTGGTGGGTTGAAATGTTTCCTTAATAGCTCTGTGCTGTAGTGAGAAACATGGTATGGGTTTCTTTCTTTTTTTTTTTTAAAAAAAAAGGAAATATAATGAAATAACATCTGTTCTGTTTTTGACTTGCCAGACCAGGGAGCATCTCTCAAAAGCCCAGCGGGGGCTAGTTGGAGAAGGGGTCTCAGATGTCTTGCAAAACCTGGTGGAGATCTCTCAGGATGGAACCAGCTACAGTGGGGACCTCTTGTCAACCTTTGATGTACTTAGGAATATGACAGAGATTTTCCGCAGGGCCTATTACAACCCGACTTCGAGCGATGTACAGGTGAGTTGACAAATAGGAATCCCACAGGTTAGTTAATGTGAGGGTAAAGCTCTAAATTTCATGGTTCCGACAGATTAAACTCTTCAAAGAACTTCGAGGCATTGTTTACCTTAAAGGATCTTTATTTGAGTAGCATGGCATCGGCACGTACATAGGCGAAGCCAAAATCTGAATTCCCCTCCCCTGGGCACCGGGTATCAAAGCACAATCCCCTCCTCTAGTTAACGGTCCTAAATCAAATTCTCCAATTAGTTTGAAATGCAGGCTTTCCCTCCAGTTCTCCAACCCGCCATTTCTTATCATCTCTTATTTCAAACAACCTTGAATCACACACTATTGCGATATTGTTATGTCTAACTAATTCCCATACACATTCTTTCCCCTCCCTCCCCAGTATCATCTAATTCTAACTCTAAGAGTAACACACAAGTTAAGGAAAATGGCTGCATCTCCATAGATTGTCAAAGCAAGAACAACCGATGTTAGCAGCGTTGACACTAAATGCTTCTATTTTTTTTTAAAAAAAAATAAAAATCGGAGAGTTCTGAATTTAGTCTTGATTCCAGAGCAGTGTTCGTCAATCTTGACAACTTGAAAATGTGTGGCAATTGAAGTCCAAGCGTTTTAAAGTTTTCTCAAAGTAAGAGAAAGACTTTGGAAAGAGTGATTCCAATGGAGCCCTTTCATAGTTTTTTTTTTTTTCACATGCTGTGAAGTTGCATGTACAATCTATAGGCGCAGAGACAGGCGTGACAGCATAAAGCATTCATCATTTTGAGGAAAGCTTTCAATCCCGCAGGTACCCCTGCAAGCAAAGACATCTAGGAAGAGGTGGCAGCATTTGATGAGGCTCTAGCTGATCAGCCCTGAAGCATCAGCAATCAGCCATCCGCCTGTCTAAACAGGATGGATAACAAGAGATTAGAGCATCAGTAAACAAATAGCAAAGAGGGGTATCGATTAGGGAATGTGCTCACCCGGGCAGTCAATTCCTGTTAATGCCTTGATCAGTAGATGTTTCGCTGGTACAAACACCCCTGATAGAATCTCATCTTCAGAAAGCAATCAGTGACAAATTGACAAGCGTGGTAGGAATGGATTTATAAGAGCTTAAGACTTTTTGCACTTTTACAAAATAACCAGGAATTATAGCCATCTTTCTTTAGAATGCTTTGTAGAGTAGAGCAGAGTAGAGTAGAGTAGGGTAGGGTAGGGCAGGGCAGGGCAGAACAAAATGCAGACTAGGATAGGATAGGATAGGATAGGATAGGATAGGATGGGATGGGATGGGATGGGATGGGATGGGATGGGATGGGATGGGATGGGATAGGATAGGATAGGATTACAGTAGTAAAATAGAATAGAATAGAATAGAATAGAATAGAATAGAATAGAATAGAATAGAATAGAATAGAATATGGAATGGGATATAATGGAATGGAATTAATAATAATAATAATAGTAGTAGTAGTAGTACTAGTAGTAAAGTTGGAAGGGACCTTGGAGGTCATCTAGTCCAACCCCCTGCTCAGGCAGGAAACCCTACACCATTTCAGACCAATGGCTGTCCAGTCTCTTCTTAAAAACTTCCAGTGTTGGAGCATTTACTGCTTCTGGAGGCAGGTTGCTCCACTGATTAATTGTTCTTGGAATGGAATGGAATGGAATGGAATAGAATAGAATAGAATAGAATAGAATAGAATAGAATAGAATAGAATAGAATAGAATAGAATAGAATTACAGTAGAGTAGAGTAGAGTAGAATAGAAATAGAAATAGAAATAGAATAGAATAGATTTCTTTATTGGCCAAGTGTGGTTGGACACACAAGTAATTTGTCTCCGGTGCAGAAGCTCTTAGTGGACATTCAAGCAACAAAGTAAGATAATCCTAAAATGCCAATAGGAGAACACAATAGTAAAGATGAGTAGTGATTCAGTAATTACAGTAGTAATCAGAAGTAATTAAAAAAAAGGAGGTAAAGGAGTCCTTGTGGATTTTACTCCGCTAGTCATTCCTGACTATAGGTTGTGTGTGTGTGTGTGTGTGTGTGTGTGTGTGTGCTCATCTCCGTTTCAAGGCCATTGAGCCAGCACTATCCAAAGACACTTCTGCACACATGTTCTGCACTGTTACAGCCCTACTACATGAGTAAATATCCTTAGACATAAGACAATGCTGTGGGAATTAGGTGCTCAGCAGAGAGATGGCAAGAGGGAAAAAAAGTTGTTTGGGCATGCCAAATTATAATAATATTATTATCAATTAATAAATAATTCAATTCATCCTAAGAGTGGAGGGAAGTTTTGCGTCCATTCTTAGCAGGTCACTCCATTGCCCTGTTTTTTTTCCTCTTTTCCTCCAAGTAAAATTGATCTGAATTGAATTGAATATTTTATCTGGCCAAGAGTGATTAGACACTCAAGGAATTTGTCTTGGATACTGACGGACTCATGGTACATGCAAAGCATCATCATATCATCATCATCATATCATTGGTCACCGAAATGTAAAAAAGAGGTTGAGACTCTAGAAAGAGTATAGAGGAGAGCAACAAAGATGATCAGGGGACTGGAGGCTAAAACACATAAGGAACGGTTGCTGGAATTGGGTATGTCTAGTTTAATGAAGAGAAGGACGAAGGAGGACATGATAGTTGTCTTCCAGTATCTCAGGGGCTGCCCCAAAGAAGAGGGAGTCAAGCTATTCGCCAAAGTGCCTGAAGGCAGGACAAGAAGCAACGGATGGAAACTCATCAAGGAGAGAAGCAACCTAGAACTAAGGAGAAACTTCCTGATAGTTATAACAATTAACCAGTGGAACAACCTGCCTCCAGAAGCAGTGAATGCTCCAACACTGGAAGTTTTTAAAGAAGAGATTAGATAGCCATTTGTCTGAAATGGTGTAGGGTTTCCTGCCTGAGCAGGGGGTTGGACTAGATGACCTCCACGGTCCCTTCCAATATTATTATTATTATTATTATTATTATTGTTGTTGTTGTTGTTGTTGTTGTTGTTGTTGTTGTTACTGTTATGGATCATCGCACAGTCAGCCAGATGTTCAGACTGGATTTGGCATTTTTGTCTACCTATCGAGTCCTCACCCAGGACCTGGGATAGGCAGATGTGGATGTTTGATGGTATTACCGATACCGTCGCAGGATGGAAGCAGTTCCTAGTAAGGCCGCCTTTTGCAACTGACTAATAGCTAATTTGTCAATGCCAATGGTGTTCAAGTGGTGCTCCAGTTGTTTTGGTATTGCACCCAAGGAGCCTATTACTATTGGTACTACCCTTGCTTGCTTTTGCCACAGTCTTTCTATTTCTATTTGTAGGTCTTTGTATTTTGTTATCTTCTCCAGCTCTTTCTCTTCTATTCTGCTATCTCCAGGCACTGCCTGTCCACTATCCAGACTTTTTTGTCTTTCTTATCGACAATTGTTAAGTCCGGAGTGTTATGTTGCTGTTGTTGTTGTTGTTGATGATGATGATGATTGTTATTATTTCCTCACCCAAATAAAAGAGGGAATAAAGAAGATAATAAGAAGGATAAGTCGTATTACTACAGCTGTAGCTACTTGGGTTAATATAGACTTCAGGCAGAACTGAGAGAACCAAGTGTTCCACAGAGTGATGGCAGGAGGGAAAAATGTTTTGACGTGCAATGCCCTATAGTGCCATCTTGAGGGGAAATGTTGAAACAGTTTATGTCCAGGATGTGAGGGGTCTGTGGATATTTTTTTTTTTTCAGCCCTCCTTCTGGCCCTCAGAATAGTTGTTGTTGTTAGTTGCAAAGTCATGTCCGACCCATCGTGACCCCGTGGACAACGTTCCTCCAGGCCTTCCTGTCCTCCGCCATCTTCTGGTGTCCACTGAAGCTCACGCCTCCTGCTTCAGGGATTCCATCCAGCCACCTCATTCTCTGTCGTCCCCTTCTTCTCTTGCCCTCCATCTTTCCCAGCATCAGGCTCTTCTCCAGGGAGTCCTTCCTTCTCATTAGGTGGCCAAAGTACTTGAGTTTCAACTTCAGGATCTGGCCTTCTAAAGAGCAGTCAGGGTTGATCTCCTCTAGGACTGACCGGTTTGATCACCTTGCAGTCCAGGGGACTCGTAGGAGTCTTCTCCAGCACCAGAGTTCAAAAGCCTCCATTCTTTGGCGCTCAGCCTTTCTTATGGTCCAACTTTCACAGCCATATCTTGCAACTGGGAAAACCATGGCCTTGACTGTACGTACTTTTGTTGGCAAGGTGACCTCTCTGCTTTTTAGTATGCTGTCTAGATTTGCCATAGCTTTCCTCCCCGGGAGCAAGCGTCTTTTAATTTCTCGGCTGCAGTCCCCATCTGTGGTGATCTTGGAGCCCAGGAAGATATATACAGGTCCTCAAATATACAGGTCCTCAATGGAAGGCAGGCTGGCTGTAATTCTTCTTTCTGGAATCTTGACTACCTGTTGGAGTCTATACCTGTCCTGTTTCGTTGCTGTACCAAACCAGACAGTTATGGGAAATGAAAGTCATTGGTGGTGATGGTGGTGAAAATGGCGATGCCTTCAACCACCTGGGGATGATTCTTGATGAAGTTTCAGCTCAGCTTTAAAACCTGGGAGGCTGAAATCAACGATGTCCTGGTTTGAAAATAATCCTGGGATGTGCAGTTCTTCATACTTGAGCATTTCAGTAGGATAATCCATCACTCCAGAAGTGAATTTCCAATATCAAATGCTGCCTTGGTATATTTAGACGCTAGTCCACCCAACCTGAAGTCCACCTACATTTAAGTCCACCTACATTTAAGTCCACCTACATTTAAGTCCACCTACATTTAATTCTGGGAGCTGAAGTCCACCTACATTTAAGAATTCTGGGAGCTGAAGTCCACCTACATTTAAGTCCACCTACATTTAAGTCCACCTACATTTAAGTCCACCTACATTTAAGTCCACCTACATTTAAGAATTCTGGGAGCTGAAGTCCACCTACATTTAAGTCCACCTACATTTAAGTCCACCTACATTTAAGTCCACCTACATTTAAGAATTCTGGGAGCTGAAGTCCACCTACATTTAAGTCCACCTACATTTAAGTCCACCTACATTTAAGTCCACCTACATTTAAGAATTCTGGGAGCTGAAGTCCACCTACATTTAAGTCCACCTACATTTAAGTCCACCTACAGTTAAGTCCACCTACATTTAAGAATTCTGGGAGCTGAAGTCCACCTACATTTAAGTCCACCTACATTTAAGTGCCAAAGTTGAGAAATATTGTTGTGCTGCTTCTCAAAACCCATGCTGAATGCGTTGCAGGGAAAAAAGACTCATAGAAATGAATTCTTCGTACCTTCTCAGAAGTTCATAGAAATGAATTCTTTGTACCTTCATCTTTTCTTGGCCTGTGTCCATAATGGCTAGCGCAGATGGAATAGAAGATCAGGTCCACCAATGGATGAATCACTTCTGGTTGAAAACCTTGGCAAACCTGAGAAATGTCCTTGAAATGTCCTCTTCACATAACATCTGTCTCTCAATCCTGGGAGGGTGGGGAAAACCATGACCGCATGCCTTAAAAATCTAAAGAGATGGAGATGAAGACCCTTTCTTCCTGGCTTCTTCATCATTATCTAATGCAGGGCTTTTCAACCTTTTCACCCATTGTACCACTTTTAGGATATGGCAACATCTGATTACCACCAGTTACCTAGCAAGGGGTCAAAAACTTGATGACCAAAAAAAAAAAAAGGAAAAAGGTGATGAAGTACAGGTAGTCCTCGACTTACAACAGTTCGCTTAGTGACTGTTCGAAGTTACAATGGCACTGAAAAAAGTGCCCCCCAAGACACAGCCGATCAAGACGTCTGCCTGCCCACCCGGCAGTGCTCTTCCTCCTGTCTGAGGTTTTTATTGTTGTGAGCATTTCTGTTGAGGATTGGCAACGGGGGTGGGGTGAGGGTGTTTGGTTTTTATTCCCCCCGTCTGCTGGGTGGTTGCAGCAGGTTTTGGCCACTTCACATGACCCTGGGACACTGTGACTGTCATAAATATGAATCAGTGGCCAAGCATCTGAATGTAAATCACAAGACCCTGGAGAGGCTGCAACATTCCAGCTGATCGGCGCTTCTTCTGTGCTCAGCAGAAGCGCCAGGATCAGTGCCGAGCTCCACTTGGAGCCTGGTGCTGATCTTGGCGCTTCCGCTGAGTCCTGACAGCCCTGCAGCTCCAGCCGTCTCTCGCTCAGGCTTGTGCGGTGCTGCCATCGGTTCAGCTCATTCCCCTTTCCCGCTACCACTTTTCTGGGATGGTCGCGTACCACCTGCCAGGTATCAATGTACCACAGGTGGTACCCGTACCACTGGTTGAAAAGCTGTGATCTAATGAATGGCTCTGAAAGAAAGGTCTTCCTCTGCTTCTCCATTTGAAGATGGGGACAATTAGAATGGAATGATCAAAGGATATGTCAACGACGGTGTGTCAATTTCAGGGAGGAATCCATTGGCTTTCTGTTTTTGTTTTTTTTTCTTCTCAGAACTTCGTCCAGGTAATTAGCAACATCCTGACCGAAGACAACAGAGACAAGTGGGAAGAGGCCCAGCTGGTACGTGAATCTTTCAGCTTCCCATTATAACCTTCTGGAAATTGCTTGGAGGGGAAAATGGCAATTTTCTCAGAGTTTATTATACAGGTAGTCTGGACTTATGACCACTTTGCTTAGTGGTCATAAGTTGAGGACTATCTGCATAGTAAGCTATAAAACAACATTTGCTTAGCGACTGTTGGAAGTTTTGATGGATCTACCTGAGGGGTATTTACAACCCAGATTTGAAGTTCTGTGATTGAGCAATCCCACCACGATCATGTGACCACATTAACAGTTAGGGTCTAAGGGACTAGAACTCACAGTCTCCCTATGGTTGGCTCAAAATCATCCAGCCAGTTTTCATGTCTAAATCAGGACTACAACTCACAGTCTCCTGGCGATTGACCCAAAGTCCCCCAGACAGTTTTCATGCCTAAAATGGGACTAGAACTCACCATCTCCTGGTGACCGGCCCAAAGTCCCCCAGCCAGCTTTCATGCCTAAGGTGGAACTAGAACTCACAGTCTCCTGGTGATTGACCCAAAGTCATGCAGCCAGTTTTCATGTCTAAATCAGGACTAGAACTCACAGTCTCCTGGTGATTGGCCCAAGGTCCCCCAGACAGTTTTCTTGTCTAAATCAGGACTAGAACTCACAGTCTCCTAGTGATTGGCCCAAAGTCAACCAGTCATCTTTCATGCCTAAGGAAGAACTAGAACTCACAGTCTCCTGGTGATCGGCCCAAGGTCCCCCAGCCAGCTTTCATGCCTATGGTGGAACTAGAACTCACAGTCTCCTGGTGATTGACCCAAAGCCCCCCAGACAGTTTTCTTGTCTAAATCAGGACTATAACTCACAGTCTCCTAGTGACTGGCCCAAAGTCCCCCAGCCATCTTTCATGCCTCAGGAGGAACTAGAACTCACAGTCTCCTGGTGATCGGCCCAAGGTCCCCCAGCCAGCTTTCATGCCTAAGGTGGAACTAGAACTCACAGTCTCCTGGTGATTGACCTAAAGCCCCCCAGACAGTTTTCTTGTCTAAATCAGGACTATAACTCACAGTCTCCTAGTGACTGGCCCAAAGTCCCCCAGCCATCTTTCATGCCTCAGGAAGAACTAGAACTCACAGTCTCCTGGTGATCGGCCCAAGGTCCCCCAGCCAGCTTTCATGCCTAAGGTGGAACTAGAACTCACAGTCTCCTGGTGATTGACCTAAAGCCCCCCAGACAGTTTTCTTGTCTAAATCAGGACTATAACTCACAGTCTCCTAGTGAGTGGCCCAAAGTCCCCCAGCCATCTTTCACGCCTCAGGAGGAACTAGAACTCACAGTCTCCTGGTGATCGGCCAAGGTCCCCCAGACAGTTTTCTTGTCTAAATTAGGACTGGAACTCACAGTCTCCTAGTGATTGGCCCAAAGTCAACCAGCCATCTTTCATGCCTAAGGAGGAACTAGAACTCACAGTCTCCTGGTGATTGACCCAAAGTCATGCAGCCAGTTTTCATGTCTAAATCAGGACTAGAACTCACAGTCTCCTAGTGACTGGCCCAAAGTCCCCCAGCCATCTTTCATGCCTCAGGAGGAACTAGAACTCACAGTCTCCTGGTGATCGGCCCAAGGTCCCCCAGCCAGCTTTCATGCCTAAGGTGGAACTAGAACTCATAGTCTCCTGGTGATTGGCCCAAAGTCAACCAGTCATCTTTCATGCCTAAGGAGGAACTAGAACTCACAGTCTCCTGGTGATCGGCCCAAGGTCCCCCAGCCAGCTTTCATGCCTAAGGTGGAACTAGAACTCACAGTCTCCTGGTGATCGGCCCCAGGTCCCCCAGCCAGCTTTCATGCCTAAGGTGGAACTAGAACTCACAGTCTCCTGGTGATCGGCCCAAGGTCCCCCAGCCAGCTTTCATGCCTAAGGTGGAACTAGAACTCACAGTCTCCTGGTGATTGGCCCCAGGTCCCCCAGCCAGCTTTCATGCTTAAGGTGGAACTAGAACTCACTGTCTCCTGGCTTTTGTGCTAGGACTTTCCTCACTACATCGAACTGGCTTTGTGCTGCAAAGAGAGAGACAGAGAAAAAATGAAAGAAAAAAATAAAATAAAAGCTAAGCTTTTGTGCAAAAAACGTTTGCTTGGCTTCCTTTCGGATGCAAGAGGAGAAAAAGCAACAACCCAGACATACAAAAAAAAAAAAAAAAAGTGCTGCCTTTTGAAAAGCCAAACATGTAGGCAAGAAGACAAAGGGAGGCTCGGAAGCCTTAGTTCAATATTATCAAAGGTACCTTGATGGCACAGCGACAAATCTCTTTTAGCAGATTTTTCCAACAAAATGCTGCAACGCCGAGATGCGGCAAGCAAGGAAGAAGCTGTCACATCCCATTTTTTTTTTTTAAGGAAACGTTTTTGTCTGGCCCACAGTGGCATTTTTCTGCGTGCATCATCCCAGCGGGGCTCTAGGGCAAAGACGTGGGATAAAATCCTCCACTGAGTTAATACGACATGTTTAATCAGGTCAGCGGAAGCTCCCCTGAGCCGACAGTTCAGTGTGATGGAGCTGAGTGGGAAACGGGTTAATTCCATATCTGCAAAGGTGCTTCTTCACCAGGCAACTGGACTTTCTTGTTTTTCTTTGAAGACGTTTCGCTTCTCACCCAAGAAGCTTCTTCAGCTCTGACCGGATGGTGGAGGAGTAAAAGGATTTATGCTTCTTGCAGACAGCTGGTCATTTCCTGCTCAGGCAGGTAACCCTATACCATTTCGGACAAATGGCTGTCCAGTCTCTTCTTAAAAACCTCCAGTGATGGAGCACCCACTGCTTCTGGAGGCAGGTTGTTCCACTGGTTCATTGTTCTCACTGTCAGGAAGTTTCTCCTTAGTTCCAGGTTGCTTCTCTCCTTGGTTAGTTTCCATCTGTTGCTTCTTGTCCTGCCTTCTGGTGCTTTGGAGAATAGCTTGACTCCCTCTTCTTTGGGGCAGCCCCTGAGATATTGGAACGCTGCTATTGTGTCCCCCCTCGTCCTTTGAAGATAGCAAAATCCACATTTTGGACAGAGAGGACCGCTGGTTTGAAAGAGGGATCCCAGAGGCCATCTGTCTCCAAATTGAACAGCCCTCCCTCAACAGAGGGGGAGGGATACAACATCATCTATCTCCAGTCTACAACACGGTCTTTTCAGCAGTTCTAAGAAGACTCCACACCGATTTGCACCCCTCAGGTTACTCTGAGGACACAGACACACCTCCAAGTGGCCTCAAGGACGCTCTAAAAGGATGCAAATGACCAGCTGTCTGCAAGGAGTATAAATCCTTCCCTTCCCCACCATCCAGTCAGAGCTGAAGAAGCTTCTTGGAGGAGAAGCGAAACGTCTTCAAATAAAAACAAGAAAGTCCAGTTGCCACTTGAAAAAGCACCTTTGGGAGAAAGATGAAAGGGAAAGAGGAAGATGGGAGGGAAAGAAGAAGGATAGGAGAGAGAAAGACAGAGACAGAGAAAGACAGGAAGAAAGGAAGAAAGAAAGGAAAGAAGAGAAGAGAAAAAGAAAGAAAGAAAGAAAGAAAGAAAGAAAGAAAGAAAGAAAAAGAAAGGAAGGAAGGAAGGAAGGAAGGAAGGAAGGAAGGAAGGAAGGAAAGAAAGAAAGAAAGAAAGAAAGAAAGAAAGAAAGAAAGAAAGAAAGAAAGAAAGTAAGTCTGCAAGGAGTATAAATCCTTCCCTTCTCTTCAGAGTTGCAGAAACTTCTTGGATAAGCCGCGAAATGTCTTCAAAGAAAAACAAAGTCCAGTTGCCTCTTGAAAAAAGGCACAAAAGGGACAATTCCATTTAATTATTTAAAATATATTTTTTTAAAAAAATATGTTTTGTTACTCGCATGTCATTATGTCCTTCCTTTTGCATCCTTTCTTTCATGAATCTATTCCACCGTTTCTTCAATATCCGTGTAACTCTTGTCTCACGGTCCTGCAGTGAGTTGGCCACGGTGAGTTGTCCTAGGCCAGTGTTTCTCAACCTTGACCATTTTAAGGCATGTGGACTTCAACTCCCAGAATTCCACAGCCAGCAATGCTGGCTGTGGAATTCTGGGAGTTGAAGTCCACATGCCTTAAAATGGTCAAGGTTGA